AAACTACCATTCATAATCGAGGCAGCTTCAGCTTTACGGAAACTGTCGACGATTGCCGAATGCATCTATGGTTTGATGTGCAGCAAAAATAAATGATTCGCGTGACTAGCGATATCGATATGTAACGAAATATCGTTTCGGTCGTTGTTGGAATAACATAATTTGGGGGAAAATATTAATGTTTTAAGAATAGTTGAAGGGTGGTTACTCTCTAGATAATTTCCTGCATAGAATTTCAAAGGATTAGAAAATGTAATTTGTCAATGAAAATATTTGACTGTCGTCAAAGAATGTGTGTTTTTTTGATACTTAATTCCTGTTTGACGAAAATGAAAAAGACGAAACGAAAAAAAAAAGATGTTGACGAAAGCAAAATTGAACATTCAGATAAAAGACAAAGGAAGGTGTAACAATTACTTGGTATCTATTTAGCCGACTTTGACAAATACTTCAGACGCTAAAAAACACAGGGTTTACTCCGTTAAACTCTGGAGACTATTAAAAACAGTGGGTAGGACCGAATTAATTAGGAGTCAAGTTGTTACATGCACCGTTTTAGTAAAATTCTGTCATGTTTAACACAACAAACAAATACAGTAAGAGCTTCTTGACCTTTGAAGCACAGTTTTTATTTTGGAATGTGTAATTCAAATTTACAAACAAATACAAAAAGGGCATGATTGGCCTTTGAACCCCTCTTTACATAATTTTATATTTGAATGTGCATTGCAGATTGAATTAGCAACGTAAAATATTGGATTTAAGGCATTTTACACAATCAATGGACCATTACTCTTCCAAGCTTGTAGACGTAGGCCCGTAGCCAGACTTGATTGTCCGGAGGGGCAAGTAATATATCTAGAGGGGCTATGCTATTTGATGTTTAGTTCCAATAATAATCAAATTGGTCGGTTGTCAGGTCATTTTTTCAGGTGGGCAATCCATTTTTCGGGGGTCTCTTGTCCACTGTAGCTACTGGCCTGTGTAGAGGTCGATTTCAACTGTTATTAACTTTTTTTCAGAATGATATTCCGACACCTGGTTTATGTGTGATTGAAATGACGACAGTATATAATGCAATAAATCATACCCATGTTCTGTATTTTCACTGTACTGTTTTTACTGTATTTCTCTGTACTGTATTTTCTCTGTACTGTATTGTCCCTATACTGTATTTTCTGTACTGTACTTTCTCTGTACTGTATTGTCCATGTACTGTTTTTACCCATTACTGTATTTTCCCCTATACTGTATTTTCCCCATTACTGTATTTTCCTATACTAAATATTTTCCATTTTCCTCATACTATATTTTCCCCATACTGTATTTTCCCTATACTGTATTTTCCCCATACTGTATTTTCCCCATACTGTATTTTTCCTATACTGTATTTTCCCCATACTGTATTTTCCCATACTGTATTTTCCCCATACTGTATTTTTCCTATACTGTATTTTCCTTATACTATATTTTCCCTATACTGTATTTTCCCTATATTATATTTGGCTTAATACTGTATTTTCCCCATTACTGTATTTTCCCCT